AGTTGCGTACGTTCACCGGACCAAATAAAAGTTCCATTTGTTGTGATTGAAAATTTTAATTGGTGGTAATGTTTGTAATTTTTTTTTTTCGGAATGAGAATTTTGATAGTCCTTGCAAGTGCATGGTGGTAATATTTGTGAACTAATTGACATGCTACAGTGCTACTAAATTTGTATTTTGCATGAAGAGGCGCTTAGGCAGTTTGGAAAGAGGGTCTCTGTTTTCGGTGGTGGATTTATAATCTTTATCTTACTGATGGCATAGATTTACTTCTTTTTTTCTAATGGTTTCAGTTACTGTTGAGCGAAGATTCTGCCTGGCTCATTAGATCACCTACCTAATATATATTTCCCAAATAAATTGTTTTGTTATGATGGAAAAAAATAAACATTCTATTGCTTAATGTCTTCTGCATAAAAAACATATTGAACATAAATTTGTTCTTTTTTTTGGTCATATTCAGGCGAGATGCACTCTTTGCAATGCAGAGATTGATTCAGGCTCCTTGATCCCTAATCTTGGTATTTGTCCCTTTATTTTATTTTTTGAGCTTCCCCTCTTCCTCAGTTTATAAATAATTTTTAAAAATAATATACCATTGACAGCTCTCAGAGCAGCAGCAGCAGCAGTGAGGAGTGAAGATGAAAGAAGACTATTTCATAATACTCATCTCAGAAAACGTAGGAAAGAAGGGGGTGAACAAATGGACCCACCAAAGAAACCAGGAAAGGTCTGTGCATGTTAACCCATATAGTTTTAATGATGCTATTGATCTGTCATTTAACCTTTTTTCCTTTTTCTTCTTTTAATCAGGAAAATGGTGAAATGAATGTTGATGGCCATACTGCCAAGCATTTAAAAGGCGTTCAGTTTCCATTTGCAGTTAACGAGAAAGTTCTGATTAAGGTTAAGCAAAATAAAAGATTAATTATGAGCTTCTCTTTGAAAAATTTTGACATTAAACAATAATTTTGAGAGTGGCAAGAAGGAAAAGCATACTGACAATAATTACTCATGCAGGGCAACAGGAGAACACCTGATAAGTTCGTTGGAAGGGAAGCCATTATTACTTCGCTGTGCTTAAATGGGTGGTAAGCTTTCATTGGTCTAAACTTTTATTTCTTATCATTTGGTTTTATTCAAACTTGCAATATAGGAGTATTTAACTGCTAATAACAACAAGTTGCAAAAAATAGGAAAAATTTTTTGGGTAAAAATATCTTGTCTAAGTTTAGTCAGGATGAGTAAAGCCATTGTGAATTTACTTTAAGATGAATATAATATATATAGATAAACAATCAAATTTTATATTGAATTCATCTCAAAATAAATCTAGCATCATGGAGACTCATCTTGATCAAAATATGGTTAGTTATCTGTTAGGCCGGCCCAAGAGGGGCTGATTGAATCCATTAAACCCGTCCTTAGTGGACCAGTTTATTGCTACTGGCGCCGGCCGAGGGAGCTGGGTGGAACTAGGGAAGGGAGAGAGGGCCGGCTGGTCCTATGGGGCCCACATCTTAATTAAATATTGCTTTGGAGGAAAATATTTGAATTAGGGGCTATTTAAGGAATTTGTAATTGTCCTTTTTGGCTTTAATATAGTTCCTCTTGAGGGTTAGGATTTTATCTTGAAGTTGAATATGAATTTGGAATCTCCTTGGTGTGCTTCGGCTCTAAGTCTCTTGGCTAGAGATTTGAAGAGTTGTTTCTTCCTCTTGAATTGAAGAAACTTGTATCGCGTGCTGATTTTTCTTTTGCGTTAGTGAAATCCACTGTTTTTCTCTCAAATTCTCTGCAGTTTTATCAAATTTTCTGCATTATTATTGTTGTTTAGCTCTGAAAACAGCAGTTTACTGCTTGGGGGTGGTTGTGCTCTATCATTATCCTTGCTAGAGTTATTAGAAGTATTATATTGTACTATCAATATTATCACATGCATTCAATAATTATAGGTGAAATTTATGATATTTATTATTATTATATATACTCATTATTGCAAATATTTTTTTATTCTTA